ACCCTAAGAGAGACATACATGGTCCCCTGGAGAAGGGAAAAGGGACAAGATCTCCTGAGCAAATTGGGAGCATGGGGGAGGGGAGAGGGAACTAGGAGAAGAAGAGGGGTGAGGAAGACATGATGGGGCAGAGAGGTTGAGTTGGGGGAAGAACAGAAGAGAGCAAGATAAGAGATAATATAATAGAGGGAGACATTATAGTTTTAAAGAGAAATCAGGCACTAGGGAAATGTCTGGAGAGCTACAAAGATGACACCAACAAACAATCTAAGTAACAGAGGAGAGGCTACCTTAAATGCCCTCCTCTGATAATGAGATTGATGACAAATTCATATGACATCGTATAGTCTTCATCCAGCAGCTAATGGAAGGAGAAGCAGACACCCACAGCTAAACCTTGAACTGAACTGAAATCCAGTTGCAGAGAAGGAGGACTGGTGACCAAAGGTGTCCATACCAGGCTGGTAAAACCCACAGAAACAGCTGACCTGAACAAGGGAAAACTCTTGTTGGTCCCCAGACTGATAGCTGGGAAACCAGTATGGGACTAATCCAGACACCCTGAATGTGGGTGTCAGTGAGGAGATCTTGGAAATCTATGGGGGGGCTCTTGTAGTGGATCAGTACTTATCTCTAGCATAGGAATGGACTTTGGGAGCCCATCCCACATGGAGGGATACTCCCTGAGCCTAGACACAAAGGGGTTGGCCTAGCCCCTATCCCAAAGAATATGACAGACTATGAAGACCCCCTATGGAAGGCCTCACCCCCCATGAGCAGAAAGGGTATGGGATAGGTAGGGTGTTAGTTGTGGAGGGGCAGGGAAGGAGGGGAGGGAGAGGGACCTGGGATTGACATGTAAAATAATTTTCTTTCTAATAAAAGAAAAAGAAACATAATTCACAAATGTATATCTTCAACAGACAATTCCAGATCCACCATAATCCTTCATGCCATTTCCATTTGTCTATCTTAGGCTTACTGAATTTCAAACTAACCCCATGATTTCAACTGTAAAATTTTCTAGTCTTTAAATCTACCCCATCTCCTAAAAAAGTCAACAATACCTTTCCTATTACTCAGGTGCCTTAGGTCCCAAGTGTTGGAGACATCCTTGACTCTTTTCCTCCATATCTCGCATCTAGCCAGCATTTGCCTGCCATCTCTAATGAGATTTTATGGCAAGTCTAGGCACAACTCCACAGTTCTCACACAGCTCTCCACCAACTTTTCACCTAAATTTCTCCAATAACAACGGATCCCCCGACTTAGCTTATATCCTATCTATTCTCGGCCAAGTTATTCTTTAAAATGCATCTCTGATTCTTTCTTTTTATTTGAATACGTGTGTTGTGGCATATTTGTACATGTGTGTATATTTGTGTACATGTGTCACATGTGTGTGCGTGCGTGCGTGTGTGCGTGTGTGTGTGTGTGTGTGTGTGTGTGTGTGTGTGTGTGTGTGTGTGTGCTGGAAGTTCTCAGTGGTTTAAATTAGCTCTGGCCTGGAAGTATTTGCTCTCTTTTCCTTTCTCCCTAGAATATTTTTGCACAAGATACACAAATGCACCTGCTATTTCTATTGCTTGACAAAACATCTGATAGAATCTTTTCAAGGAAGGGCGAGTTTAATTTGGCTCACAGTCCATCATGGCAGGAAGGTCATGGCAATAGGTGCCTGGGGTGTCTGGTCATGTTGCATCCACAGGCAGGTAGGTAGTGGAGAAAGATGGATGCTGTTACTTAGCTTGCTCTCTCTTTACTGTTTCTAGGACCCTAGAACATGGGATGGTGAGACTCACAGGCTGGGTGGATCTAGCCTTCGCAGCTAAATCCCTCAAGAAATTCCCTCACAGACATGTCAAGAGTTGTGTCTCCTGGGATTCTTTATTTGTGGATGTGGAAATCAGGATGCTTGACCAGTAAGATGAAGTGGAATTTATTTGGATAGAATAACTTACACAGGAAACAAGTGACTGTCACAGACTCCCGCTCCAAGGATGCAGACCCTGCCACCTGGATGCTCTCCGCAACCCGAAGAAGGTGCTTCTGAGCCCCAATTCAATCCTTTTAACTGGTTAAGTCCACACCTATGACTGCGCCTGTTTGGGTGTGGTCAGTGCTACATTTATTACTATATATTAATTGTACAAAAGAATGCACTTCTTTGTGGTATTCTCTTACATTCAGTTTATGTACTTTGGCGTCGTCACCACAAATAATCTTGTCTTCCTGCCCCCTCCCTCCACATGGACCCTCTGGTCTTCCTTGCTACTGTCTTTTTACATGAGAGGAAAAACATGATTAATTCCTTCTGAGTCCACCTTTCTCAGTTTCTCTCCAATGTCATCCATTTTCCTGTAAATGATAATTTCATGTTTTGTAGTGTTCATATGTATGTATATGTGAAAGCCAGCCATCAACCTTGGATGTTGTTCCTCAGGCTCTGTCTCCCTTGTTTTTTTTGTGAGAGACCGTATCACTGCCCTGAACTCACTGTGCTGATTCCCAGTGAGACCCAGGGATCTTGCCTATCTCTGTCTCTCCAGTGCTGGTATTATAAAGCATACTGCCATGCCTGTTTTTGTTGTTTCTGTTTGTTTAAACACAGGTTATGATGATCAAATTTGAGTTCTCAGGCACACCAAGGCAAGATTTTTACTAATGAAGCCATCTCCCCATCCTCCTCATTCTTCTTAATAGCATAAAATGTGTGTGGTGTGCTGTGATGTGCAATGTGCAATCGCAAGAGTTAATATTAAAAATTAAAAGTTGAATAGAAGCACCTGTGTTTGCCTCAGGCAAAAATATGAAGGGAAGTGGGAATTATTGGTAAATTGCTTTCAATTTGCATATTACTTTTCAATAAACCTAACATTATGGAAAGACAAAAAATGTGTGTGTGTATGTGTGTGTGTGTGTGTGTGTGTGTGTGTGTGTGTGTGTGTGTGTGTGTGCACATCCATGAATTCCCACACATGTGTCCCATTTTCCTTAGCTATTTTTCTGTAGAAGGTGACTCTATAGCTTGGCTATTTTGAGCAGTGCTCTGTTAAATTCAGGTGGGCTGACTTAGTTCCCCATTGTCATACACCCATCCCTGGTATAGCTGTGCCAAGTGGCTGTTCCATTTTTAGTTTTTCAAAAGACTGTCATACTGATTTCCATAGCAGCTTTCCTAGTTCACATTCCCACCAGCAGTGTTTAAGGATCCCCTCAACATTCTCTCTAGAGCTTGTTTCCTTTTGTCATGATAGCCATTCTGATTGGGTAAGATGGAATCTCTGGATAGTTTTGATTTACATATGGCTGAGGATGTTGAATGTTTTTCCATGTAATTTTTGTACTTATTTTGAGAAACGTATGTTGTATTCATGTGCCCACTTATTGATTGGCTTCTTTGATTTTCAGGGTTGAATTCTGAATTTTATACATACTCGATATTCATAGTTGGTTATAGCTAGCAAAGATCTCTCATTTGCCTGTGTGTTCTGCAGTATCCTTTGCCATCAGAAGAGTTTGCATTTGCACAGCCTCATTCCTCAGTTCTTGCCATTGTTTTGTGTAAGTCGTTGCTTAGACCTACATTTTAAAGGTTCTCCCCATGTTTCCTTCTTGTGACTTCAGGTTTTCAGTTGTTACACTTTTGATCCATTTTAAGTTGATTTTTGTGCAGAATGAAAGATAGGGTCTTCGGTCCTCTGTGCATGAAGAGGAGGAGAAATTTTTTTTGCTGTTTCTTTTACTGCTAAATCCTCATCTCTTGAGGAGTACAGGGCAGGCAAAGAGCACTCAAGTACTTTGAGTTTTGAAAAATGTGAATGCATCCTCTGTCTAGTAAGTTTAACTTGCACAGAATTTACTTATATTGAAATGGTCATCTTTTTTCATTTAACGTATTTTAATTTTTTCTCTGCTTTTTAAGTCTCTTTCCTGATTAAGGCTTCTGCTCTTCATAACTTTAAATTTTCTCATTTTAGAAGGTACATGTGTTAGTTTGTGTTTAATAGTTACTACTCTTCTTTTAAAATCTTTTTCTATTTTTTCCTCTAACGATTTTTTTTACTTGTTTGCTTTTGTATTTGTCTTTCTTCTGCAGTGCTGTAAATCAAAAACCTCAAGTCTTGTACATGCAAGGCAAGCACTCACAACTGAACTGCATCCCTAGTCCTGTTTTAACATTTAATGACAACACAATACACAGGGGAACACATCACAAAACTACAGACCAAGGATTGTCTCAAACTGAACATCTTCACATACACAGCTCCAGTGTCAAAGAGCGGCCCTCTGGGGCTCTCTGCTCCACATTATCCCCTACCACAGGTAACTGCTCTCCTGACTCCCAATCTGTTGGTACATTCTGTCTACTTTTGACCTTTGTACTAATGCAGCAATGCAGTTTGTACTCCTTGGTGCTGCACACTTGTATTCAGTATTATGTTGAGAGATTCTTTCAGGTTGTTGCAGCTAGTTAATTTACCAGGACCAAATTTTCTCTTTCATTGTATGGACAGGGTATGATGTATAGATCTACCCCATTTGTTGTTGTTGTTGTAGCATTTCCCCCATAGGACACAGTCCTCACTAGTTAGTCAATGCTTTCTTAAGCCCTGTATCTCTCTTTCTGCTTGCCATTGAAGATTGATGTCTCAGCTTCCTGATCCTACCACCATGCCTGCCACTTGCTGCTATGCTCCTAGCCAGGAGAGATGAGGACTCTTATTCCTTAGGAACTATAAGCCCAAATAAGTTGTTCTTTAAGTTGCCTCAGTTGTGATATCTTATTGCAACAACAATAAAGTAATTAATATAATATGAATATGGACAACATCTTTACCTTGTCTGTGATTTGCCTGATTATTCTTTTCTTAATTGCAATTAAGAAATACATCCTAAGTTTGCCTAAGTCTTTTCAGGATAAAATAAGTTAATATTTGGGAAAATAGAAATGAGCTGAAGATAAAGCAACTTCAGAAGTGACTTTAAGGAATAAATTTAGACAAGTGGTGGGACACCATAAGGTAAGACAGTGGGCATAAAAGCATCCCAGGTAGAGGAAAGAGATCAAGTAAAAACTTAAGGCCCCTTTAGCACACAGCATGCTCTGAAAACACTTGACCATAGCTGTACCAGGGGGCAGGTGTGTGGCACAGGTGAAGCTCAGGAGGCTCCAGTATATTTTAAACGATGATGACTCCATTTTTTGATCACTGAATTTACCCCATTCTGGCTCTAATACTTCACATCCATGGCTTTCAGTTGACTAATGTGCTGCAATCGACCTTTCTTTTTTCTTTTTCTTTTTGGTTTTGAAGACAGGGACTCTCTATGTAGCCCTGGCTGTCCTGAACTCACTCTGTAGACTAGCCTGACCTTGAATGCAGAGATTGGTCCACCTCTGCCTCATGAGTGCTGGAAGTAAAGGCATGCACCACCGCCAACTGGCTGCAATGGACTTTCCTTTCCTTCATCTATGCAGCATCTTCTCTTATTCTCTTGATAACAGCTGTCTTGTTTTCCTTCCATGTGATGGTGTCTTGGTTTGAATGAGAATGGCCCACATAAGCTCATACATTTGAATACATGGTTCCCAGTTGGTAGAACTATTTGGGAAAGATTTGGAGGTGTGTCCTTGTTGGAGGAGGTGTGTCACGGGGGGTGGGCTTTGAGGTTTTAAAAGCTCATATCATTCCCATTTGCTCACCCTCACAGGCCTCATGCTTATGGATAAGAAATGAGCTCTCAACTGCTCTGGTACCGTGCCTGCTGGACTGCTGCTATGTTTCCTGCCATGATGGTCATGAATTCTACCTCTTGGAACCGTAAGCCCTCTATAATTCTTTCTTCTATAAGTTGTCTTGGTCATGTGTTTCTTCACAACAATAGAAAAGTAACTAAGACAGATGGTGTGTTGTTTGGTACAAATGATGATGCACACTCCTAGCTCAATGGGAATATGACATAGCCCAGTCCAATCAGATCATCATAGGTCTTTAATTTGTGATGGCATGTGACTCAATCGAAGTCAGCATAAGACTCACGTCTTTTATCTTTGGAAAGGTAAAAATTACAAGTTTTCCTTTGGTTCTTATCAGAGAATAGTTTGTAATCACTGCTTGCTGCCAGCTTGACTTTACAGGAACCTGAAAAACAGGGTTGCCTCAGAGGAGAACTCAGGATACTGTGTCCTTGTGATATTATCTGTGTGTCCCTGGATCCAGACATGCCTTGATCTTTTGCCAAGTGAGCCTGCTTTAAGTATGTGGTTTAACCAAGTATGATTTAATTCTTGTTTATAATGAAGGGTTCTGACCACCGTAAAGGAAGAAAATGCAGCTGAAATAGCCACTTTGTGATGCTGCAAGACATCACAGTTTGCCAGTAGTGAGAGCAGGGTCAGTAGACAGACAAGAAAAGAATGAGTGTCATATGACATGCTGTTGGATCTGGTCCTCATAATTCCTGTGAGTTCTGCCCTCAGATTCCTTTTTTAATGGAGAAATTGAAATACTGCAATACAAACTCACCACACAGCTGCTAAGTTCATACTTGTGTAGACTTGAACTCAAGCCAGTTGCCTCTAAATCTAGTGCTCTTTCCATTACTCCGAGGGAAACAGCCCTTACAGTCAAGTTACTAGGTACATAATAAATGTCCATTATATATCTGTAAATAAATTGTGATCTCAGCCATACTCCTCTTTAAAACAATTTGGTAGTGAAGAGATTCCAGGGGAAATGCCACTTACCCTTCTCTTGGGAGTGCCTGGTCAGCACCACATCCTCAGGGAAGAGCTTGTTCTGATTGATGTCAACCACAGCTTCCTGGTTTCCAGCTGGAAGACTCCATCTGTCCCCCTGGACTCCAGCCATCTGGACTTTTCCTGGTGTCTCTTCATATACACCTACCTAAACACATGAAGCAGGGAGAGCACTTCTGGGACTGATTGTCAAATCAGTTTCTTGCTCATGCATTCTGGTCTTCAGAGTGTGATCCTTAGTGAGAACAACTCTTAATTATTACAGGTTGTTACTAGACCCTACATCTTACCAGAATACACACTATACCCTTTATTTATTTCTGAAGAGCCAGTGAATGCCTGGCACAGAGTCAGGCCTATAGGAGTGCAACTACAAGTCAGACTCTTTATTCCATCTCAACCATCATGGCATCCCGTGAGAAGAAATATTACTAGTTCTCTTGATAAAGAATCTAGGCCGCTCAAATAACCGATGATGGGTTTCATTATTAGTATTCTACACAGAGAGGGCTTAGCCCTACATCCCTGTTCTCATCACCCATAAGGGGGCTTTTGGGTATCCCTCCTTTCTTTCAGTCTACTTGACATAGGTCTTTCTATTCACTACCTCACATTCCTTCTCAAGTCTGCATTGCTTTATCTATGAGACCTATATTGAATATAAGACAACATGAAAAGTTCTGGAAGTAGGCCAGTCAGTCAACTGAGTATCCCAGATACTGGTCATGGCGAACACTCACAAGGAATTAGGGTGTAATATGATATTACTTAAAAAAGTGTTCACAGCCATAGAAACAGAGGATAGAGAAATTTCTATTTTTCTTCGGGAGATTGAGTGTGGGAAATCTCCCAAAAGCAGAATTCATTAAATTCTATCTTTTAAAATGTAGGTAGGAGATTGATGGAAGGGGACAGGAATATCTGGCAGATTCATCAGAATGAGCAAAGATGGGTTATTTGGAGAAGTATTAGTGACCTAATAGTATGGAAGGGGTCGTGTGGAAGCTTTGACAAGAGCTAAGCTAAAGGAAGGGGGGATAGGAGAGGGAAGACTGAAGACAAGACTCAAAAGACAAATGGGGTGGGGCTGAATTATGAATGGTTTTGTATAACCAGGAAGGGGTTTGGGTTTTATTCCTTAGTTTTGTAAGGAGAATCAGTAGATGATACCGTTCAGATTTGGACTGGAGAAAGATCACATGTCTGAACTACATCATGAGCCCTAGGACACAGATACCTTGGAAGGATGCTTAGGATGTGAATCTTCTGGCTTTGGAGGTTCTAATTCATATGACTCTTTTTCCTGCATGCTGTTTTCTTCGTCTTTAAGTGTAGGTCTGAAATAGGAAGACACCAAGGAAGAGTAAGGTCTTCCATGTAGAGGGTAGAGTGGCCCAATCCTAATGAGATGACTGAGAAGAGTGGAGCTTTAAGATGAGGAATCAGGACTAGATCAACCAGATGCTTGAGCGTCTGTCTATTCCAGCCAGTGTAAGGTCAATTCATGCTTAAACTCTTTTAGTTCTCTAGTACCTGTAGGATGCAAACTAAGTCCCTGTGTAGTCCACCACTTTTCTTCCTTCCCCATTCTCTCTCTCTGTTCCTTTCCTCCACATTGGTTTGGATGTAGATTATCACAATTTCCCTCAACCCACCAGCTTATTTGATCACCTCTTTCTTTTTATTACTTACTAATTTTCCCAAACATGCCATTTGCATCTAACACATTGCTAACAAAACTAAGATGTCTTTGGTCTGAGTCATAATACTTGTGAGTCCTCCATTGATACCCTGGAGTAGCCATGTTGTCTCCATATCCCCAACTCTTTGCCTGTCTGGTTTAGATTACTGCAAGTTGTCTATGGATCTATCTGATCTATCTTCAATTACCCTTCTTTGCTTTGTCAATGAGAATTTGCTGCATGAATACAATATGGGCTAAGATGACAAGGGCAAGGAAGGTCACACAGGGTCACTGAGAACCTGCTTGACACTGGGTTCCGTACAAAGTCCCAGGGAAACAACCAGTTCATGCACTGGGAACATGGCCAGCCACAGCAAGAAAATGAGTTCAGTTGTGAGTCATAGGTGGCTAGACGATGCCTTCCTTTTAGAGATAAAACTTACCTCGGTTCTAGATGTGGAAAACTCCTCCAAGGCTGAAAACAAAGAAGAAAAGTCACTTTTTGTGAGTTTACCCAAAGCAGGCTCTGTTGTTGGTTATAAATCATCAGATGATTTGATCAAACAGGAGGTGAAGTCTCAGGACATGGCACAAGCAGACAATGGCCACAGAGAGTTCCATGTGGGATTGAAGCTCAAGCAGAAGAGGAACCAACATTTCTGAAGGTGCATGTGTGCGAGTTACAGCACGCAAAAGGACTCAGATAGTTTTCTCTTCATCCCTTTCCAGGCATGCCCCTGAAGGAGAAGAGCTTCTGGATGTACAATATGTGGCATCCAGGCAGTTTCGGTGGCCAAAGGTCAGTACATGAGTCTTGCTTGGATTATACCCTAACTGCATGATCTCTGATCAAAATTCCACTCTTACATGGCAGAGATTTAATTCTGTTAAGATTACATCCTAGTGATTACAACACGAAACAGCCCCCTTCCCCCTAATCACTAGTCCCACATCTGATGTCATTAATTGTTTGGAATCTAGCCAAGAACCCTGAAGAAAATAGAAAACAAGAATCTGAACGGTTGCCTCTTAAGGCCAAGCATAGCGGCTCCCAGACATCCTTAGAGGAGAGCCCTGCAGGCCTTCATTCAGTGCCTAGTGGCTCTTCAAAGAATTCTAGCAAATTAACACCAGGAAACAAGTCAGATGAACCCTTTTCAATGCCTTTCAATGTTAGTTACTGGATTATTTAACAGCTCTACATCATTTATAGTGGAAGCAGGGGTACTGACTCCCACGGTTATTTTGGGGATTGAGTGTTGTTGTATAATTCCTGATCAAATAAAGGGCTTACTGCTAGACACCAAAGTGCCAGCAGGAGGCAGACAAGGTAACTGCCAGAAAGGATGACAACCACAGAAAACAGCCATGAGCTCTAATGTGAGTCAACTAGCCTTCTGCAAGGATTCAGGAGCATGAACTGTGCTTACACAGCCCTACAGCCAAGTCTTCAAGAAAGATGAACTCGAACTCTGCTTGCCCAGCTTAAAAATACAAAATGTGCCCACTAAGGGTGGACTAGACCCTTAAATGACCCCACAAAAGTGCTTGGGAAGCACCTGCTATGTGTCAGACACTGTACCTCATTGCTCTCTGTAATTTGAAGATATGCCAGTCCCGTTTGCTGAACATCTGCTGTGGCAGACATGGTGATAAACTTACTGTCCCCATGGGGAAATACTCCATTTACAGAGAGTAGAGGTTCAGAGACCTGAATGTCAAGTTCCAGGTACTTCTGAACACACCATTCCATTGGTGCTTGCCTTATGCTCCCCCTCACAAGACTCCAGATGTGGGGTTCTATTCTCCTCATGGTACAGGTGTCCGGTACAATGTCCTTGTTGACCAAGATTCAAGGTCATAGCCAGGTGCAATTTTGCTTGGGGCCTCAACTGAACTGCTACATCACCTCCAAGGTGGCACTTAACACCACACCAGCAGAATCCCAGGAAGTATGCTTTCTGGGCCCTGGCTGTTTTCTCAGAAGCCTAAGATATATAAATTTGGGTTGTCCTGGAGGACATTTCTCTCTGAAAGAGATGGTTATTAAAGGGCATTTTGGCACAGAACATATGAGATGAGGGTTCAGAAAAACAATTCAGACAATGTCTGCCCATCTCAGTACACACCTCCTTATTCTGTGTTAAAGGCTTGGGGCTCAGAATCCTGACCACTAAGAGCCTAGAAAAAGTCTGTTGCAAATAGGGAGCTTTCATCTTGCTGGAAAGTTCCCTAGACTTACGTCTAGGGAATGTACTACTCTTAGTCACACATCAGTAAGGACAGGAGGAGAATACCTTTTGGAGTTCTTCAATTTCAATTTCATAAGTGGCTAAAAATAAACAAAAGATATTTCAAGTCAGTTTATCCACTCATTTCTTGCAATATCCAGGCTTAACACAATTTACATGATTACAGAAGTCCAGTTTTCTCACCCTTCAGAGCATCCATCTATGACCCACTCTGAGTGAGTAGGAAAATTTCTAAGGTATCAATGGTCAAGGTTTGAGTTCTGTTGGGGATTTCCAGGATGGAATTTATAGCCTATTTTGAAAGCATAAGAAACCATATCTTAAGTTTCCTGGTTAAGTAAATGGATACACATATCCTTCTTAAAAAAATCATTTAAAATCAGTGTTAGCACTTAGGAGACAAATGTGAAAGGTGTGTGTGAGTGTGTGTGAGTGTGTGTGTGTGTGTGTGTGTGTGTGTGTGTGTGTGTGTGTGTGTGTTGGGGAGGGAGGCAGACTAGCAGGAACTTGAGTTTAACTCAAGAGATGAATGCCATATTTTGCCCCAAGTACTTTGTTTCCTAAACATGGCTTGAAAGAGGAGAGAAGAAATCATCCTGAGCGAGGTAACCCAGTCACAAAAAGACAAACATGGTAGGTAATTACTCATTTATGGATTTTAGACATAGAGCAAAGGATTATCACCCTACAATCCACACCTCCAGAAAAGCTAGGAAACAAGGAGGACCCTAAGAGGACCTCCCCGGAGAAGGGGAAAGGGACAAGATCTCCTGAGCAAATTGGGAGCATGGGAGGAGAGGAGAGGGAGATAGGAAAAAGAGAAGGGGAGAAGAGGAGGAGAGAGGAGGACATGAGGAAGCAGGAAGGTTGAATTGGGGAAAGAATAAAGGAGAGCAAAATAAGAGATGCCATAATAGAGGGAGCCATTATAGGTTTAAAGAGAAATCAGGCACCAGGGAAATGTCTAGAGATCTACAAGGATGACGCCAACTAATAATCTAAGCAAAAGTTGAGAGTCTACCTTAAATGCCCTTCCCCGATAATGAGATTGATGACTACTTTATATGCCATCCTAGAGACTTCATCCAGAAGCTGATGGAAGTATAGAAGCCGACACCCACAGCTAAACACTGAACTGAACTCCTAGAATCCAGTTGTAGAGAGGGAGGGGTTATGGGCAAAGGGGCCAAGATCAGGCTGGTGAAACTCACAGAAACAGCTGACCTGAACAAGGGGGAGCTCATGGACCCCAGACTGAAAGCTGGGAAACCAGCATAGGACTGATCCAGACCCCATGAATGTGGAGGACTCAGAAATCTATGGGGCCTCTGGTAGTAGATCAGTATTTATCCCTAGCATACGAATGGACTTTGGGACGCCATTCCACATAGAGGGATACTCTCTGCTTAGCCACATGGGGGAGGACCTAGGCCCTGCTCCAAAGGATATGACAGACTCTGAAGATCCCCATGGAAGGCCTCACCCCCTCCCTGGGGAGCAGAAAGGAGATGGGATAGGGTGTTAGAGGGGGCAGGGGAGGAGGCGAGGGAGAGGGAACTGGGATTGATATGTAAAACAATCTTGTTGCTAATTTAAATAAAAAATAGAAAAAAAGAAAGGAGCCCAAGAAGATGTAAATATCTCTTGACTTTTCCCATGCTTCTGTGGATGTTACTTAATGAAATCATGACTTTCTAAATTATTCACAAATATTAGTGGCAAGAACGGACATAAAATTTGAGTCCTGCCACTTTCTTCTTGGGGAATTCAGATGAATTCCTATGAGCCCTGGGCTGCTCATCTGTGAAACTGGTCCACCAGTACCTTCAAGATGGCGATTAACATTGTTAACAGGACACTGGACATTGTATGAAAAGTGTCAGATTGCCCAGAGAATTGCTTCTCACATGCTTTTTGCTTAGCAAACATCTATAAAGTTTTGAACTGCTGACAGAAGTGTGAAGCAGGTGGGGCTTCTGCTATGTTTCTTCTGCTATTGTCCTGAAATTGATTAAAAAAAATTTGCTCCATTGCTCAGCTCTTAATAGAAACATATAATTAATTCACTGACAAAATAAATGTAGTAGTTTTCCCTAAAATTTAGGTTTTCTTGGATCTAAAATTCTACATGCATAGTTAATAATGTAGTTCATGTAGGTAAACCAGATGTTCATCTTTACTGACTTTTAGAGGAAGATACTTTTTACCCCTTACTTTTATTTTTGTTTGACACATACCCCCCTTTTTTTAAAAAAATAATGAATCTCTTTATGGGGCTGGAGAGATGACTTAGCAGCTAAGAGCCCTTGTTGCTCTTGTAGATGACCTCCATTTGAGTCCCAGCATGCCCACCATGTCTCAGAACCATCAGCAACTCCAGTTCCAGGGACTCTGACAGCCTCTTCCGACTTCCCTGGGCACCAGGCACACTCACGGTGCACAGACATGCGTGTAGGCAAAACATTCATATCCACAAAGAAAACTAAATCTAAAAAAATGTAAATCTACTCATGATTCAATTTCCCCATATTGACTTGTTTCCACTTTTTAAAGAGATAATCTCTTTTATGGGCCTGTCTGTGCTCTTCATAGAATTAACAAAGTATGATCTCACTTTGCTTCCCCTTAAACACCCTGGAGAATATCAGTGCATATGATGCCCTAGAAACTACAAAACCAGGGCTTGCAGATGCTCTGGGGATGCTTGCTCCAGTACATAAGCGAAGATCATACACATTCAGCTGATGATGTCCTTGTAGTGCCAAAGGGAAGGCTCTCCATTGGGAAGCTTCGGGAACCAAACTTACACCAAGGTAAGAATGCAAGGCTTATGCTTTGTTGGTAGTCATGGGAGACCTGCCCTTTCCTAAACAGAACCTGAGGGGGAGTGGACTGGGGAGTGGGAAGAAAGAGGGGAGGGGCAGAAAAGGGAGAGGAAACTTCAGCCAGGCAGTAAAATGCATGCATGCATGAATGAATGAATACAAGGCTTGAAAAAGAGCAAGAAGGGGCAGATGGAGAAGTTCAGAGGGAGGAAAGGGGAGGGAGAAATGATGTAACTACAGTCTCAAAAATAAAAGAAAGGGAGGGTGGGCTATACTAAAAAAAAAAAAAAGTCAGCAGGAACTAGGAATTGAAACAAGATTTGACCCCCAGCTTTGGAGTCCTCGCTCACTTTCTATGCAGGGGTCTGTAAGTTCCCCCCTCTAACGTGGCTTTACCAGGTGGCAGAAAAAGAGAAACCTCCAGAAGAGTTTCCTCAGCCACTTTGCAGCTGCAGAGGTCCACAGCCTGGAGGCCTTCCACTTTTCCATGCACTATACCCCACGAGATCTTAGACTAGCCTGTCTTCACATCCGGAGGTGAGATGACCATCCTTAATATTAAATAACTCAATGATCCAAAGCAGCAAACATCTTCACAGTGTAGGCAATAGGCTTCCTTTTGATACTAAATATTTACCGATATGGAAACCCACACTGAGGGAAGTGAAGCAGATTGCCCAAGGCTGCTCAAGAGAACAACTTCCCGGTTTAGAACTTCCTGGTCTGAGGGAATCCCCAAGGCTCTTCAAGATGCCCCAAGAATTCCCTGGCACCAGGAGGCACAGTCACAAGGACACTGGTCTTGATGACCACTGTGGATAATTATGCAATTTCCAGAACAGCCTGAGTCCTGTGACCCAAGACTGAGCTCTGCAATGGTGGGCACTGTGTAAGCTATGCACCCAAAGCTGTTGGGTTTGTTTCAAGGGACAGAATCACTGATGGGACAGCAGACACTAATCACTACATCCTATCTTTCCTGTCTGCTCCCTATCTCTCTCTCCCAACCCCTTTAAAAAAAATTAGATTCTTCACCCGAGAGAAACATTATTAAAATTAATTTTTGTAAAGGTGTGAGAATTAAGTTCCTGTTTGACATTTTTTGTAACCTATAGATAGTAATACACACTCCACCACTATTTCTTAGAAGGCTGTCTTCATTGAGTTGCTTCTACATCTTTGTAAATGGAGGGCAGGGGGCAGAACAAGAATTGTTTTGCATGTTTACACCTGCCTGTCTCTGGTTTCTCAGCTTCATTCCTCTACACCAGGTCTCTCTACCAAAGCCACATGATCTTGATCAAGGTATCAGTCTTTCAGTTGGGTGGCTGGTCTTTCCTACATTTTCTTCTCAAAATTATCTGCAGCTGTTTTAAGTCCCTCTGCCTTTCCATATGCATTTTAGAATAATCCTGTCTATAGCTACAAAACACCTTGCTGGGATATTTATAGGAACTGCCTTAAGCCTATGAGCCACTTGGGGAGAACTGATGTGTTGTTTTTCACTAACTGTCAATTTTAATCTATTGGGTCTTCTAATCCGCAAACATATTATGTCTCCTCACTCATTTGGATTAGATTTGATTTATTTAATCCAAATTTTATACTCTTAACATTTAACTCTTGTGCATGCTGTGACAAATTGACGTCTACATGTTTATCTTTTGGAAAGAAAACTTAAAAGGTATTGTACTTTTCCAATATTAGCATCCATGTGCACACTGGTAGTACATAAAACCACAACTGTTCACTAGTTCTTGGAGGCAGGGTGTAGGGGTTGTTTCTCTGTTGGGCTCTTATAAACACTTAGGGATTTCTGCAAATTAAGATGCTATCTTTCTTTGCCCTTTCATTTCCTGGTTAGATCTCGTAGCTCTACATTGAGTAAGAGCAGTAGGTGAGGACATTCTTGTTTTGTTTCAAGTTTTGGAGAGAAAGCAGTGCCTCTTTATCATCAGGTAGCTAGTTCTGCAGGCTCCCTGTGAACAACCTTTATCAGAGCCAAGGAGTTCTTTTTCCAAGAATCATTATATTGTGATCAGGGCAGAATGTTGCCCAGTGTCCTTTGAATGTATTGTGTGATTTTACTGCTTCACTCTGCAACCATAATGAGTTTCATTGATTGATTTGTGGATACTGGGCTTTGCATCTCCAAAACAAACTGCATTGGCTTATGCCGCTGTATACGATTGCTAATATCCAGTGTTAACGGATCTTCATGGCTGCTCCCGGAGATCTGAGCCATTTTCTTATTTAGTTTTAGTATCTGGCTTATGTTAACTTCACGAGATGAGCCAGGAACTGGTTGCCTCTATTTTTCTCAAAGATACTACAAAGCATGGGTGATAGCTCTTTTAAGTGTTTGCAAGCATGTTTCAGTGAAATCACCTGGATACAGACACTCTTTGGGGAACTTGTTTGTATGAGGTGTAGGTATGTATGTGTGTATGTATGTTCTCATGTATGCAATGTGTATTGGGGATGTGTATGTGTGTATGCATGTTTTCCTGTATACAGACACACAAGTGTGTTGGGAGTGTGCATGTACACTTGGAGGCCAGAGATTGGTGTTGGGTATCCTCCTTAATGGCTCTTCATTTTACTTTCTGTGGCACGTTCTCTTTCTGAACCCAGAGCTCACTGATTCCTCAGGGATCCCTGCCCCTGCCTCCCAAATGCTGGAATTATAGGTAGCAGCTACACCTCCCAGCTTTCATGTGTGTCCTGGGAATTCTAACTCCAGCCCTTATACTTATATGGGAAGCTCTCTACCCTCTGAGCCAATACCTTAGCCCCTATTTGGGGGAACTTTTAAAGCTCTAAGTGCAGGTTTTTTTTCTACGGGTTATGGAGCAACTCAAATTATTTTGGGTGATCTGCAGTAGCTTAAAGGGATTGTTTCATTTTTGTTTAAGTTGCCAAATTCATGTACATACAGTGTTTTATAATGCTTCCTTATCTCTTAGTGCCCATGGGGTCTGTGAGGCTATCCCTGCTTTATTCCTGAGATTGTTAATTTTCTTGGTCAGTCTTTCTAGACATTTGTCAATTCCATTATCTTTGGAAGGGGGTGGGACACATCACTGAAATCCTCATGACTGCTGGCTATAGTTTCCCAGTTTCTTAAGTATTATTTGGCCTATCCTTGTCTACTATAAAAATGTCCTGCTATCAGGGATAGGCTTAGTCATCTCCATCCCCTCCCACCTGATTCCCTGCTGTTCCACACAGGGAGCTCCACCAGGCCTCACTTTCTGAACCCTTTCCGACTCCTTAGTCCACAACCCTTGCCTTCTTGGTGGCATTACTCTTTCAGTGCAGCTGGGACCCTTCACAAAATACTTGGGTTAGTAATTCCTTCTTTAGGGTACCTCAGGTGGTGTCCCTAGGAGGCCCATCTTTGGAATTTGTCAACGAATGGAGATCTCTTACCCAGCTTTCCATAGTCAATCCTCAGCTTCACCCACTAGCATGAGTGGCCCTGCCTGTGTGAAACATGCATACACCTGTCTCTGAAGCCTAGCTCATCAAGAGGAAGATGCACCAAGGGAAAATCCCTGACCAGGATTTTTGTGAGGCATTTCCATAATGGTAGGTTCTGGGTAAGGGAGTCTCAGGAGTCCAGAGAAAAAAAAGGTGAAGGCTCAGCCTCAAGCTTCCTCTCAGCCCTGTGAACCTTATGTCTGGTAGAAATTCATTCAGTGAGAATTCTGCCTACATGGGGCCCTAGCCTCTCTAGTCAGAGTGTGTGGGACAGTCCAGCAGTGTCACATGAATGGTGAACTTGCTAGAAATGCAGGCTCCAAGGCCACATATCAGAGCTGTGACCGGAATCTGTATTTTAAGATTTCCCAAGGATGAATGCATAAAATAGAAAGTGAAAAGCCCTGCTCTGTGCCTATGGCTAATATTCTACAAATCACATGGGAACATCTGGTTTTTTCACAGGTGATCTGGTTTATCCCAATTTGCTTTATCAGGGTACAAAGACAACTGTCTGACTTCTTAGACTTTTAGAATCCCACAGTAGTAGAGTGGGCAATGAATGAAAAACAAAAGCAAAAGCAAACAACAACAACAAAATCCTACACCTATGGCAGACATTAATAATCAGTTGCAGACCTTTCATCCCATGCCTGAATCTATCCTCTCAATTGTGTTTAAGACAGCCATCTCTGATAATAGACTTGACCCAGTAGAATTTTTTTTAGTAGTTATTCAATTTCTCACTCCTGGAAAGGAAAGTGAAATGTGTTCGGGAATATTATTTTAACTGTGTAAAGGTGTGTTACATTTGTTTATGCTTCATTTTAATTTTGGAAAGATGTGTTGCATTTATTTTACCTTGCCTGCCTAAAGCACCTGATTGGTCTAATAAAGAGCTAAACAGCCAATAGCAAGGCAGAGAAAGGATAGGCAGGGCTGGCAGGCAGGGAGAATAAATAGGAGAAGAAATCTAGGCCTGGAACAAGAACGAGATGAGGTGAAGAGAGGAGAGAACAAGGGAGACACAGAGTGGGGGGCAGCCAGGCAGCCACCAGCCAGCCGACACAAGAAGCAGTGAAAATAAGATATACAAATAGAAAGTAAAAAGCCCTGAGGCAAAAGTTAGATAAAGAGAAACAAGTTAATTTAAGTTAAAGGACCTAAGCTAGGCTGGGCACTCATAACCAATAAGTCTCTGTGTCATGATTTGGGAGTTGGTTGGTGGACCAAAAGAAAAATTGTGCTACAGAAATGTCAATATGTGTTCACAATTTATATCACAGACTTTAAGTATATATTCCAGAACAATGACTTCTTTCTTAGAACCCAAGTCTTCTTGTCTGTACAGCAATAATTGAGCCAGAAGAACTTCTGGAGCCTCCTTGCAAGGGAGATAAGCTCCCTCTGGGTAAGATGCAGCTTAGATTGATGGAAAGGTCATGGAGTATTCACACAGGCTGAGCCTGTTCTGCACTGTAGCTCTACCACACAGTGCTTGGCTCACTATGTACGTCTCATCCTCTCCAAGCTTCAGTCTCCTGTCTCTTGCAGTGGGGATGGAAACATTCAATCTGCAGGTGTCTGCACAGAGGACCTAGCAGAGAAATACAATCCATAGTGCTGGCTCTGTAAGTCCTGGCATTTACTGTAGCACTGGTATTTATTGCTTCTGCAGAGAGTTGGATGACACTGTCAGTAGAACAAAGACATTGAAAGTTGTAGTAGTGTTGCATCTCTGCTTCTCATTCATTTTCTTTAGGAATCCCCTTTGCACAAAGCATTCTGAGCATCATCAAAGGCTGGAGGATTTATCTCTGAACTCAAAAGCTACTATATAAAGCCCCTTTTCTTAATTAGATTGAACACAAAGTCTAATTCTCATGGTGTGCCATCTCTTTCTCCACACACTAAGTAACCTCAAGAAGGATATGAGAAGCAAGGTGAGATTTCCTTAAGTGAGAAAAATTAAATCACAGTGTCTTGACTTTTCCTCCTACCCACCTACAAAGGGCAAAGCAGTTAAGATGATCAGAGATAAAAAGGAATGGCAGGAAGGAGGAGGTACACAGCAGGAGTCACTTATTAGGAGTCCAGATCAGTGCTGATGCCCAGCTGGACTGATATATATTGTTAAGAGACTAGGAATGGGAGAGATAAAAAAGGAAATAAGATGGCAGAGCAGAAAATCTGAACATATCATTAGCTATAGGGAAAATACCATCTTGACACATTTTTACCCTGCACCTGGTTGTAATATTAATTGGCTTAGCAGACTTACCCTCCGCAGTTTCTCCTGCAGCACACAGGTTAATCGAGTTGCTAGAGTGACTCAGATATGAAATTCTTGTATCATAATTATGTGGTTCTTCCAACTCAGCACTGAAAAGAACGGAAGAAGAAATACATTGAACTCACATTTTTTTGACTCTGACCAGGGAAGCAGGTAGGCCAACTAAAGGCCTTTGCCTCTCCTCCCTCTGCTCCAAGTATAATCCCCCAGTCTCATCCCCATCTCTGTTGTAGACCATGCTCCCTGCTCTCATTTCCATGGGACTAAGCAGATCACCATGGAACATGATACTTCCTTCCTTCCTGTGGATCACCCCTAGGCCACATCTAGAAGGATATCAGAAGAATTTCCTATCAGGGATCACAGTCACCACACCTTCCTAAGAACTAGAAAGGGCAACAGAAACCAAGGAGCAAAACACCCACCCAAAAAACAGTAGACTAGATACTAGCACCTAGAATTACAATCTTCTGATACCCATATGCCTAGAAGCCAGCATAAAAACAAAACAATAACAGCCAGGACAATATGTTTCTACTAGAGCTCAGCAACACTACCACAGTGGGCACTGACGATTGCAACATATCTCAAGCACAAAACAAAGACATTAAAGTAGCCTTTATGAATATGATAGAGGACCTTAAAGAGGAAATAAATCTCTTAAGGAAATCTATGAAAAGACAAACAGCAGAAAGAAATGAACAAAATAGTTCAAGACCTGAAAATTGAAATAGAATCAACAAGGTAAACAGGGAAATCTGAAAATAAGAAATTTAGAAACCTGAATAGGAACCTCAGAGGCAAGCTTCACCAACAGTATACAAGAGATGGAAGAGAGAATCTCAGGCATTGAAGAAATGGATACTTCTGTCAAAGAAAATGTTAAATATAAAAACTCCTGGCCCCAAGCATCAAGAAAATCTGGGACACTATAAAGAGACCAAACCTAAGAATAATAGGAATAGAAGAAGAGAAGAAATACAGGTCAAAGGCCCAGAAAATATTTTCAACAAAATCATAGAAGAAAATTTCCCTAACCTAAAGAAGGAGGTGCCTACCAAGGAACATGAAGCATACAGGCTAACAGATTGGGGCAAAAAAGAAAGTCTCCTTTGCACATAGTAATCAAAACACTGAATGTACAGAACAAAGAAAGAATATTATAAGGTCCAAGAGAAAAAGACCAAGTAACATATAAAGGCACACCTATTAAAATGACACCTGACTTCTCAATGGAGATTCTAAAAGCCAAAAGGGCCTGGACAGATGTCTTGCAGATTCTGAGAGACCACAGATGCCAGCCCAGACTACTATACCTAGCAAAACTTTCAATCACAATTGATGGAGAACATAAGATGTTCCATGATAAAAACCAAATTTAAGCAATATCATCTATTTATAAATCCAGTCCTATGGAAGATGCTAGAAAGAAAACTCCAATCTAAAGAGGTTAACTGCATCTAAGGAAACGCAAGGAATAAATAATCCCAGAGCAGCAAATCAAAAAAGAGAGAGACAGACACATCAGTAAAATAATGGTAATCTACAAACACTGTTCATTGATATCTCTCAGCATCAGTTGTCTCAAGTCTCCAAAAATAAAAAAAAAGACAGAAACAGTAAGAATGGGAAAAGAGGATCCATCCTTCTGCTGTACCCAAAAAAGAATACACTTTAACATAAAGAATAGGCATCACCTTAGGGCAAAAGGATGGAAAAAGATATTCTAAGCTTAATAGGCAAGTTTGTGTAGCCATTTTAACATCTGGTAAAATAGACTCCAAACCAAAATTAATCAGAAGAGATAGGGAAATACATTACATACTCAAAGGAAAAATCCACCAAAAGGACATTGTAATCCTTAACATCTATGCACGAAACACAAGGGCACACAAGTTTGTGTAAAGAAACACCACTAAATCTGAAGTTGACTCTCACACACTGATAGTGGGGACTTCAATGCCCTTCTCTTGCTAATAGACAGGCAGTCTGGACAAAAACCACACAGAGAAATGCTGGAGCTAACTGGCATTATTAAACCAAATGGACCTAACATTTACAGAAATACAAAAGAAGATATTGTCTTCTATGCACCTCATGGAACTTTCTCCAAAATTGACCACATACTCAGACACAAAGCAAGATACAGGAAAGTTGAAGTAACACCCTGCATCCTAGCTGAGCCCTGTGGATTAAAGCTGGATATTGACAATAAAAATAAAAACCTTACACACTCATGACAACTGCACAACTCACTACTGAATAAGAAAAGGGTCAAGATAGAAGCTAGGAAAGAAGTTAAAGACTTTCTAGAATTGAATGAAATGAATACACAGCATACCCAAACTCATGGGACACAATGAAGGTAGTTCTAAGAGGCAAGTTCATAGCACTAAGTGCCTACATAAAAAAAAAAATAGAAAGATCTCATAAATTCCCCCATCACTAGCCCAGAAGCCATCTCCAATTGATAACTACTTGCAAATGGAAATTCCATTTTATCCAAGGGAGTCTCACACCAGTGAAACAAACTACACTTAAGGGTAGCTCCCATGCCCAGCAGTAGACGACCAAGAGAAAACATGGCATCTTTGGAGGTTCTTTCTCTCACAATGTCATATCAGGGCTTTAAATTTTTTTCTCATATATATTCTCTCTTTACACTGCAGGTCCTCTGTGTATATATTGTGGCTTCTAGTTTAGTGTTTTCATGGGATTCCTGCAGGTGCAAATGAGTGTGTCTGTTTCTTGTGCCTTCTCTTCAGCTCTTTTCTTTTGTCCTATTCTGATATGTTAGTTTCTGTATCATTTTATTATTATCCCTTAGAAGCATCTTGCTTTCCAATGACAGACACAAAGGAGGTGGATCTGGATGGGAAGATTGGGGAGAAGAAATGGGAGGAGTAGAGGGAGGTGAAGCTGTAATCAGGGTATATCATGTGATAAAAAATCTATTTCCAATAAAAGGAAAAAAACACGTCTTCAAACACATTTAAAAGCTCTGTATGTTTTTCCTCATTAGAGAAATCACACGGTGCCCATCTAGTGACTTGTGCAGATGTGGAAGTCAGGAGCCCTCCCCAAAGTACAGGGATTCTCAATGAGATTCAGCCATACAATATATTACAGAGAAATCACAGAGTCTACAGAGGAATCAATAAGGCATAATCCCTGTGCCAGATATAGTGAGGAATGCATAATAAGAAACTTAGGTGAGAACTGTTGAGATTCCAGGAAAACCCAAGACCAAATAAAGAGAGTCCTCATGCTGGGCAGCAGGTTAATGTCTAAGTCTGAAGGTCAAGCTGAAACACTTCTCACTGGGAAGTCAGAACTATGCTGCCAACAGGAGTCTATCATGACCGATGCTGCCTGACCTATGATGGGTTCTAGAAAATATCTTTTGCACTCTCCCAAGGGAATGAGCAAGAAAGCTTTCTTTCTGTGGCCACAGAGCTGGAATACTTGGCTAGAAGAAGCCAGAAGCTCAAAGCCCAGCACCAAGGACAGGTGTGGGGTCAGCATTCATTCTACCCCTGTGATGCAGAGATCCAACACTGATCCTGGAACTCAAAATTCAGATCCTCCTTTTATGAACCAGGTTTCCTAAAAAGGCCGTGTCTGTATTGAAGGACTGCACATGGATGGTTAGAGCTGTGGTTGTAGACAGGTGGGATGCTGCAGATTGAAATCCAAAGTTATTATTTTGGGATATTGTAACGATAACTTTTTCCACCAGCTGCCCGAGCCCCACTGCCACAGGGGCACCCAAAATAACACACAGAGATTAATATTAGGTACAATGCTGCTGGCCAATGACTAGGATTTCTTATGTGCTAACTCAGTCTTAATTATCAACCATAACTACTAATCTATATTTTTTATAAAGACTTATCTTGTCAAGGATGCCAGTCATATGCATCCTTTCTTGCTGGCGATCACATGGCGGCCCCCCCACAGAAGAGAGGAGGAGGAAGAGAGTGATTTCCTGCTTGTCCTTGCTTATATTCTGAGTCTGCCTGCAATGTCACTTCCTGCCTGGATAAAAAGACCTTTCTTTACTACAATTCCCAGAATCCTCCTTGACTTCTAATCCCACCTATCTTGCTCCCCTATTGGCCAACAGTGCTTTATTCAACAACCAATAAGACAAACATATGCAGAAGGACTTCCCCTATCAGAGTATCTATTAATTTTATCCCCCCAGATATCATTTCTCTGTGTAGTCCTGGCTGTCCTGGAACTTGCTTTGTAGACCTGGCTGGACTCAAACTCAAGAGATCTGCCTGCCTCTGCCTCTCTGATACTGGGTTTAAAGGCACATATGTGGTACACAAACACACATGCAGGCAAAATACACCCATACATATAAAATAAATATAACAAAACTGAACTCTCCTGGGTGCCTGAAAACACGGAACAACAACAAATGAGGGAGCCTGTGTTTAACCTGGTGGAGTCAGACACACACACACACACACACACACACACACACACACACACACACACACACACGGATGGGGAGGTGGGGGAGGAGGACAGACTTCTGAGCAGTACTTTAACTTGTGGAGATCTCAGTACTGCACTCCCCTCCTGTATCCCCAGTGTACTTGTGACACACTTCTATCTAGAACATCAGCTACCCCAAAGGACTAAATCTGGTGAGATTCAAGAGTGGGGGAGAACCTGACGAATTCTCAGCCCTGAAGCCAAGTGTGATCAGTAGAGGTCCCTGTGCACAAAGAAGGGAAACAACTAAGTGGAGTCAGCTCTAGCAGACACCAGACACTTGGCTAGTGCTGGCTCAATGTGACAGAGCAAACGCTGTTCCCTATGTGTGCGTAGCAGGTGCATTAGTCATGTAACCACCTTCTCAGCCCCTATTAACTTGGTTAAGAGAAAGCTTCAGAAGATAGAAACAAGGCAAAATTTCTAATTTTAAGAGGCTAATATAGTTTTCACATAAAAACAATATAATCAAATAAAAGAAAATTAGAAGAGTTCAAATCTCACTTAAAAAGATTTATTTAACCCAACCCTGTTTAGGAATTCCTAGAAAAATAAATGATTATGTATTAAAAGTACCTCA